GATCTGAGCCCCCTCACTGAGATGGGCGTGAGGCTGAGTGCTGGTCGGGCTACTGGTGAGTGGGAGCTGGTAAGAAGAAACACGCAGAACACCTGTGTCTCCTAGTGCTCTCAGGGCTCTTCCACCGACGGTGCACTAATTCACGTTATTGAAATCCCGCTGCTGGTCTCGCAAGAGGCAAAGGAGATCTTGGAGCACAAGCCCCCTTCCTCTTCCTCAACCCCTTCACTCCCAAAAGAGAGTAGATTTGAGCTGGGATCCGAGAAAGCAGCATCGAGCTGGGGCTACAACAGTGGGCAGCCAGGTGAGCAAGGAAGGAAAGCCTACGTTGTGGCTGGGAACCCAGCTGAATTTGCTATGCGCATAGAAGGCGTAGGTGAAGAAGTGAAACTGTAAACTTCTTAGGGTACTGAATTTATGGGTTGATGGTTTTTTCTCCCTAATTTAACTTGTTCAGCTTTCTTTAAAGCAATTGTTTCATATTCTTAGGCTATTGAAGCTAAGTGTCCAGGTTACGGCCAGGACACTTGATGTCTATATATTGATTTATTCACTCTAAAGAGTCTGAAAAAAATGCTTGGTTAGAATTCAGCAGTGTTCTCAAAAAAGCATTTCTTCCTGGTATATTAATAGACTTAAATTTTTTCCTGCTTATCATATTCCTTATACACCAGTCTCCTGGTAAAAGAAAATATGTAACAAATATCTCTAAAACACCTTCAGAAACAAATTTTAACTGATAAATTTTATTTATTATATCCTGGTGACATTTAAAAAATTGATGGCTAAAATTAAGGAATTAGACATAAAAGTAGACTTAACTCAAATGTTTATATGGTTTCATCTGTATATCTTTTATTTTCTGCTGCTCAAGGTCCTTGATACTCCAGAATTGGGGGAAATCATAAAGCTCATGAAATCCTTCTTTTCTTGTTGAGAAAACTGATATAGAGTGAGGTTTACTAATCCATCTATGTTCACACCACTAGTGGCCGATCTAGGTTCACCAGAGCCCTCTGATTTCCACTGTTACAGCTGCACAAGATGAGTAACTGAAGGATGCTAGGCAGGGCCTGGTGTATCACTGCTGGCATGCAGGCAGTACTAATAGAGGAGCCCCAAACGGGTCTAGGTATTTTAAGTAGAAAGGGATATGGAATTCATACATGGAATTAGGTGCTCGCCAAACCACTGGAAGGGCTGCAGGACTGACCTTGGAGATGAGCTTTCAGGACTGACTCCCAATAACACTGTGGGACTGACCTGCCAAGGATATGGGAAGCTCTGTCTCATTAGTCATCAGAATTGCAAGAAGGTAGTTTCTAAAATATCCATCCTAAATCTTCACTTTTACTAGAAAAATAATACTTGCAAAAAAATCTACTGCTGGCGAATCAGAAATAGTACCTTTATTTATGAAGGACAACTCACTGATTTTGTTTCACCACCTGTAACAGCTCTGCTCCATGCTTACCTTAAATGTTTAATTGATTTTTTAAAATGTCCTTCCATTGTTCTTTAGGTATCCATTTTTACCCACCTCCCCCCAGCAGTCACCACACTGTAGTCTGTGTCCATGAGTCCTTTTTCCTTTTCGCTGGATCCCTCCACCCCCTACCCCTGCCCCAAAGCTGTCATCCTCCTCTGTATCTATGAGTCTCCCTCTCTATTTTGCTGTTAGTTTAGAATGTTCATTAGATTCCACATATGAGTGAAATCACACGGTATTTGTCTTTCTCTGACTGGCTTATTTCACTTAGCATAATGCTCTCCAGGTCTACACATGCTATTGCAAGCGGTAGAATTTTCTTTTTTTCTTTTTATAGTCAAGTATATTCCATTGTGTCAATGCCCCATAGTTGTTTTATCCATTCATCTACTGATGCTTCCCTATGAACATCCTAACCCTCAAAAAATTAAAAATGGAACTGCCTTATTCCATTTCCGGGAATTTATTGGAAGAAGCCTGAAACACTAGTTCAAAAGAACATAAGCACCCCTATGTTCATTGCAGCATTATTGACAATTACTAAGATATGGCAGCAGCGCAAGTACCCATGTATTCATTTTTAAATGGTTATAATCATAGTGTTGTAACTCGTTTATTTAATATTTTATATTCATGTTATATAATCCATTTTATTACATTATAATATATACTATACACAAAATAATATAAATATTACTTATATAACCATAAAATCATGAAAAAGTGAATATGAAGAGTAACTATACCATGATAGTTGACATGCAGTTTCACACATATCTCTGTTGACTTTTTATCCACTTTATTGAGATATATTCACCCATTTAAAGGTTTTTTTTGGCATATTCATAAAAGTGTAAAACCATCGCCAAAACCTCTATTATACTTCATCACTTTATTTAAAACTCATTTTTCTAAAGCATAATTTAGATCTCTTACTCTCACTTGCATGCATGCACACTCCATCCCTCTGCTCTAATGAAACTGCACAAGGCAGGGTGGGAACTATGGCTCCGTGGTGCATGTTGAGGTTACTCTGGCCAGGGGCACTATTTTTAAGACTGAATAATTAAATCATTTAAAGCTAAAAGACCACTTAACTATTATATCGATTGACACCAACCCAGGCATCATGGAGAATACGATGAGAAGTGTTCTGCCTGTCTATATAGCTAGTAACTTCTAAAGAAAAAGAGGTAAATGCTGGCTGGAATACCTTGTGCAAAATGCAACCATCCTATTTTTTCTAGGAGTTCACAAAGTATGAGTCCTAGAATTTGGCTAATGATTGATATAAAAGCTCCTGGCCTGTAGTCTCAGCAATGTCTCTCCCCCCCACCCCTTTTGAAGATCAGTATGAGGTTCGTTCATATTCTGTTTCTGCTATCGCCTTGTAAACAGGAAGTTGCTTCATTGTTTCATTCATTGTCCTCATGCTTCCTGACACATAGTCGACACTGGATTTAGGTATTTGAGTGAATGAATGAATGCCTTTAAAAAGATTTCTCAGTGTTTTCATGACCACTTTTACTAGGTATTTTGGTAATACCCATCTACCTGTCCATCAGCCCTTATCCTAAATGCCACTCATTTCGGGAGCCTTCCTGGTTGCCTGCACTAGGCTAGGTGCTCCTGAGTTCTGCTCTTTGACACCACTCTCTCTACTGACAAAATCTTCGAGTCGGAGGTTTCCATGTTTATTTACTGGGTATGCCTTTGTATCCCCAATTCCGTGCTCTGTGCCCACCACACAGTATGTGCTTAATCAGTATTTGGTTGAATAAATGAAGTAAATTGGGATGTAATTTGTCTCTGTTTGAAGGCGAGAACTCATTCAACATAACCAGGTGTTCTTGTCCACCTGTTCATCTGTCTTAACTTTTAAGTCATAGTCTTTTTCTTCTAAAAGAACTTTATTGAAACATAACTTACATATCATAAAATCCATTCATTAAATTCTTTGCATTATTTTTCCCTGCTTATTTTCTGTGTGGAGGTCATTTTTATGATATGGGAAGAGACTAGAAGTGGAGTGTGGTGAAATCTTGGGTAGAGAATGCGCTCCTAGAGCCCAACTCAATTGGGTTTATTTGCCCTGGCTGGCATAGCTCAGTGGATTGAGTGCAGACTGTAAACCGAGGGTCGGGTCGTAGGTTTGATTCCCAGTTAGGTCACATACCTGGGTTGTGGGCCAGGTCCCCAGTGGGGACCATGTAAGAGGCAACCACACATTGATGTTTCTCTCTCTCTTTCTTCCTCCCTTCTCCTCTCTAAAAAATAAATAAATCTTAAAAAAATACGGTATACTTTTATTCTTGCCTCTGTCGTGATGGTAAACAAAGCACCTCTTTAAGCCTTGGATTCTAATGTGTGAAACTGCACTATTAAGAGTTTCTTAATTGCATATGCTAAGGATTAAATGAGAAGACATGCAAAAGATCTGCTCCAGTGTAGAAGTGGTAACACCAATCATGTAGATTCCCTCTCTTCTCTCTGTCGTCTATTAATTAACCTTAGACCTTATAAACAAGAGGTCTGCTCTTGCACCATCATTTTGTTATAAACATGTTTTAAAAAATACCCAACCTTCTTGCTTTTTCAGTATTCCTGCAAACACCACTTCATTCTCAGGTTTTGCTTCCTGGCACAGTTCTTAGATTTTTGTCCCTCTTTTTATTCATCCTTTTCTCTCCGTCTTTTTAATGTGCTGATAGGAAGAACAAACGCCACCTGAGATCACTAGAGAACAGTGGTTCTTCAGTTGCCATTCCTTTTCTTGTTCACTGTTTTTTATTTTGAACTCGGAATTTAATTTTTCAAAGTCTCCATTCTTTAACAAGTGTTTTTCTTTTTCCACCCTTTCATCTTGAAATCATACCTGCTTTCCCCCTGGATCTGTTTCCTAAAGTCTCCTGCCTCCTGTCTGGCTGTGTGTTGTATTATGCTCACATCCTCCAGGTTTCTACAGCTTCCACAGAACCAACCAGTTCTTCCCAGGGAGTCACATTACATCAGCATTACTAATGCAATAGCTGTTATATCAGACTGTGTTTTATTCCAGTCAGTCAATTAAAAAACGAACCTCGCTTCTGGTCTGATTTATCATGGAGGATGAAATGTCTAAGGTAAATGCAAACTGCTTCGAGATTTGGGAGACGTATTTACATTAAACGTATACCTGTTGAATTTGGGCTTTTTCTCAACGCTTCAGAAACCCTCCGATTTCGGGTAATTGGAATGGCAGAGTTTCCAGAGACTTCACAAACAATTAGACCCCCTCAAAAGGACTGCTTCACAGACTCAAAGGAACACCCACCAACAAACCCATCTCCAACAACCAGCAGATTATCTCACCAGCGAGTGAGACTGCAAGGTTTGGGGGCCCGGCTGTACCACTCCGCGATGCGCATAGGGGAGTTGGCGCCCATTTTGCTGAGACTAACGGTCTCCCCCTCGTTGGTTTTGCCCCGATCCCCCTGCGCAGGCACCTACAGTGCGTCAGGCCGGCGCTTTATAGCGCCAGCCTGGGCGGCTCCGTTCGCTGTTTTTCCTCCTCTCTGGGTAGTGACCTCACCTGCGGTTCGCGAAGATGCAGCTCAAACCCATGGAGATTAACCCCGAGGTGAGCTTCAGGTGCACCGTGGTCGGGGAGCACTTGACAGAGGGTCAGCCCACGCCAGGTAGCCTTATTGCTCACTGGTTTTATTTTTGTATTTTTCTTTGCATTTGTCTTTCAGATGCTGAACAAAGTGAGTGGCGTCTCATACTGCCTCAGTCCCCATCCCCCCGGGGGCACCGAGGCGAAGGCGCCCACATGCTCCGGCGGTTTCACACGGACTTAACGGAGCTATGCGTGCTCTGGAGGAGTGGGGCTGGGGCGCGGTCAGGACACTCGTCCTGTCCACCAACACTAGGGCGGGGGTGGGATGCTGGTGGAGGAGGATGCTGCGCCCAGAGTCGATGGCCCCTTGGAGCTCCCGAGGGCGTGGCGCGGGCCGTGAGACTCCAGTGCCTGGGCTTCGCGGGAGCCACGTGTGGACCGCGCTTTGTGCTGTGTCATTGCGCTGGAGAGGTGGGGCATGGGGCGGAGACTCCTAGGCTCTGATCAGGACTCCTCCCAGGCTTCGCAGGGGCCCTGAGGGTGCAGAGTGTGCCCCGCCCTCTGCACGTGCCCACCACTTGCCTGTCCTCCGGAGCCTGGCCGCCTTGTCTGCTCTCCGCAGGTGCTGGTCCGGTTGGGGGTTGCCGGCCAGTGGCGCTTCGTGGACGTGCTGGGGCTGGAGGAGGAGGCTCTGAGCTCGGTGCCTGCACCGGCCTGCGCGCTGCTGCTGCTCTTTCCACTCACCGCCCAGGTAGGGCGTGGGGCCCGGGGAGCGCTGCGCTCCCAAACGAAAATGAGGCATTGAGGACTGTGTAGACTCCCGGTTCTTCTTCCCACGTGGTCTCTCCGTCCAAACCGGGCAACACTGCCCCCTTCCTGTGGGGGTGGAAGGAGGAGCCCATTCTTTGTTGGTGCCTATTCATTGGAGCCCCTGTTGTGATAGAGCTTATTGCCTCCTTGCTCACGCATCCCGCATTTCCTCAAATTTGGGTGGGAAGCAGGATCTCTGTTCTATCGTCCCAATTATCCAGGGAAATGATTCATCCTACTCATAAGTTCCTTTGAACCTAGGCTTTTCAGAGCCTTCTGTGCCAAGGCATGGCAGGTTGTTTCCCCTTAAGGGGGGTCACCTGCCAGTTGTTTGGTTCTCAGACTCCTGCCTTGCTGTTAACTAGGGGGGAGGGGCTTGTGTAAATCACAAGAAAACAGTAGGTTCTTTAATTCTGTACTTCCACTGCGTACAACAGGCACACCTAGATTTTAGCTTCACCTATGTGCTTTAAAAGAAAAAAACTTAATCATTTGGGTATGTTTTCTGTGTGGGGGCCTCCTTCCACCTCTCTTATCCTCTTTACTCTCTGTCCTTGTAGGTAAACGAAATAGGTGGGCACTAGAGTAATCTTGGAAACAGTTTTCATTTCCTTTTAGATGATCTTCCTCCTCCTAGTGCGCGTAGATGTGTGTACCTTAACGACTGAGTATCCGATATAAAAAAAAGGTAGCTGGGATAATAGTTGTCTTGAGGTGTATGGAATTCCCCTGATTAGCGAGGTATTGTCTAGCTCTGGCTGTCTTTTGACCCCTGGTTAGGGAGTGGTTGAAAATTTCTTTTGGCAAAACTCGAGGCATTAGCATTTGAGGCATCATTTCAAACAGTGGGCTTAACTGAGGCACCATCCTAAGGCTGTGTGTTCTGGAAGCATCCCCAGTGTAAATTAAGCCCTATGGACACAGGCGGCAAACACAAGGCACGTGGGCCAAATCCGGCCCTCCACCTTGTTCTATCTGGTCTGGCACCTTGTTTCTACCTGGCGGCAGTGTGGAGTTCCTTGCTCCTAGTTAAGGAGTAGTTACATTTATGCAGTCCTAAAATTACACTCAGCCCTTTGAAGTCAACCTTGGGGCTGATGTGGCCCCCAGTGAAAATGAGTTTGACACTCCAGGTGTTCCTTCTTAAAGCTATTAGGATAATCCCAGGGACATGGGGGTCTTTGTTTCTTTTGCTTTTCATTGCCAAAGGCAAGCCGAACCACCAAAAATTGCAAGTCAAATTAACATTCCTGTTGACCAAATGAAACGCAGTCCCCTCCCTCCTCTGAGCCCCTCAGTGCTTTCTCGTGAGGAACCATGATGACTCGGAGGTTTTGAGCCGCTCTCCGCGGCCAGGCCTCTGGGAGGCAGTGGTGCAGCACACTTGTCTTGCAAAAGCCCACGGTTCTTTAGCTGGATGGGGTGGTTTTGTTAGAGAACAGTCTGCTTTGACTGGTTTATGTTTGGAAGAGCTCAGCACTTACTAGTCCTTTAGCTCCAATTCGGGCCGTCAGATTTATTGGAGCCCTTGTCCTGTGACACAAGACACCCACTGGGCCAAACACTGACGCCGATGTGAAAAAGAGTCGAGGTTTGCAGGTTGACTTCCAAACAAACTAATGTTAATTTAGAAAGCATTGAATTGTGTCTAAGAGACTATTACCAAATCCTAAATGGACCACGTTTAAAACATTCATTTTAAGTGATAATGAAATATTTACATAATGGTCTTCATGCAAGAGCTCAGACAATCCTCAAGGATGGTGCTGTTTCATTTAAAATATTTCAACTAACCTAGAAAAGTGAAAAGCCTTGATGGTCCATGAGTAACTCAATTTAAGTGTCTGGTAGAAAGGTACATGGTGCTAGAACTTCCTACTAGTTGGAGTTGATCTTGTGGGACAAGAGATTGGATTTCTCTGAGGAGGCCACAGACAAGACCTAAACTTCAATTCCATGTACAGTAACGGAAGGCTACTAGAATGGGAATTATGCTTCTGGTGTGCTTTCTGTCTGACTTCTGCTGCTTTATGGGTAATAGTGTTTCTGTGATAGTAGCACCCTGCTTTTAACTGAGAAGTCATACCTGCAAGGTCTTTAAAAGTTGGTAGTGAAAGGTTCAGACAGGCCCACTGAATGCCTGCACAAAGAACTAACCCCTGCTTTGAGGAAAACTGCCTCTAGTCTTGTTTACTGGTCTGTATCCTCCTCCCACCTCCCATTGCTAATCTGTCCTCAAACTGTCGTTGGCAAGGACAAACAGGTGTCACCACATCTTCCTCTCACAGGACGAGGAGTTTTTGCAAAATCACAGCCAAGCCATCACCTAGACTGCTTGTCTTCATAAAAAAGGGAGAGAGCATCATAACTTTGTTCAGATTGCGCCTTTCAGCAGTGAAGGCTTGCTTCATTTTTTAAGAGAAGTATACCTGGATAGCATAGAAGTAGAATGCTAGAGAATAGTGAGCTATAAACTGGTTGATATTCTTATCGGCTGTTAAATTAAAGCTTCATCGGGATACATAGTCATTGTCCATGTTAAAGGAAGAAAACTTTTTGGCTCCTTACGATTTCTGTTTGAGATTCTTAGGTTATGTAATGAACTTGTCTCATTCTTTTTTTTTTTTTTTTTTGACTTGGTGACACCATCCATTTCCGGCTAAAAGGCTGCAGTGGTGTCTAGACCAAGCCTTGGGCAACGTCCAGGGCCATTACTGCACTGCAGCATCTGGGTGGAGTCTCAGAACCTCTCAGAACCCCACGGGCTGGCGTGGGTGTGGGAGGCAGACAGGCCATTCCCTGGGCACTGGCCAGTATCTAGAAGCGAGGCTCCTGGTCACACATCCTACTCGTGTTTCCATTTAGGTGGTAGAAATTACTGTGCTGCCATCTGTTCTTTGCATTTCCATTTTGAGATACTCACATGTTTTTTACACTCACAGCATGAGAACTTCAGGAAAAAACAGATCGAGGAGCTGAAGGGACAAGAAGTCAGTCCTCAGGTGTACTTCATGAAGCAGACCATCGGGAACTCCTGCGGCACTGTCGGGCTCATCCACGCAGTGGCCAACAATCAGGACAAGCTGGAATTTGGTGAGTGTGAGTTTCGAGGCCACTGATCTTCTGCTTGACCTCAAATTAACCATCACTCTTCGTTCCAAACTGACCCCCTCCACTGGCACCAGTGGTCTATTTAGCAAAGTCATTGCCTTCAAATTTTTTGAAAGCACCTTATCCAGAAGTAATCAGTGAGTGAATTCTTGTTTTTCTCTTTTGAGGGAAGGAGACTTATTTTCTAAAAAGCATGGTTTGGCTTCTTCGAACCGGAGAGGAAGAGGGAGTGATAACAGTCTTTTTCTCTGAAGATTTTATTTATTTTTAGAGAGGGGAAAGGAGGGAGAAAGAGAAGAAGAGAAACGTTGGTATGGGAGGGAAACATCCATCAGTTGCCTCTTGCATGTCCTTAACAAGGAAGCTAGCCTGCAACCCGGCATGTGCCCTGACTGGGAATCGAACCCGCGACCTTTTGGTTCACAAGCCAGTGCTCATCAAGCCACATCAGCAGGGGAGGGAGTGGTACCGTGTTGTACCGCAGCTCTGTATATGCTCTGCATTTGTAGACAGCGTAGATGGGCCTCAGGTGAAGGGTAGAGAACACTTGATGCCGATGTTGTCATGATTCTCATGTGTCCAGTTCTCAGTAATTCTGAAGAATTAGAGATGGTGTTAAGCTGTAAGACATCAATAGTCAGAACTTGTCTTTAGTGGTTCTCTGTCTCATAAGCATCAGGAGACCGCTTAGAGCAGCTGGGCATAGAGTGTGGAAGTTTCTGCCGAGAGGTGTTAGCAGCTGGTCAGAACCGTGAAAGGATTGGGCAGAACCTTAGAAGGATACCACTTTGAACAAAGTCAGCTCAGAGCCTTCAGCTCACCTTTAGTGGATGCTGTGGAGGATGTAGAAGAAATGAGTGAGTCTCAGCTCTAAAGCTTGGCCAAGGCTTAATTAACAGCACTAAAATAACATTAAAATACATTGCCATTATGTCTGATTTAGGTCAGCAGACTTGTAAAAGGCCAGGGAGTGAAATCTTTCAAGCCGAGCGCCATAGGGTCTCTGCCCTTGTAGTGCAGAAACACTGTAGACACAGTGCAAACCAGTGGATGTGGCTGTGGTCCAGTAGAACGTGTTTTGCAAAAATCAGCAGCTGCAGTCTAATTCAGACAATAGAGGGGGTGCTGCGAACTGAATAATTTCAACAGTCCATCCACGCTGTTGCTTGTAGTGAAAATACTGTGTTTTGCCGTGTATAATGCGCACCCATGTTTTTGGCCCAAACTTTCAGGAAAAAAAATCTTTCGTTTTAATTTTTTAATTCAGTGTTTTATTTATTTATATTTAGATATTTGTTTAAGGAGTTTTGGCATTTATTTTTGAACATACTACGATACAAGAAATTTTATGGAACAAATCACAAAACATAAGAACAGATACAAAGTATTTCAGGTACTAATATGTAATGGTTATCTTTATTTCCCTTCAAAAGTTTGAGCAAAAAGGGGGCTCATTATACATGGCAAAATATATATTTTTTACAAGGGAAGTGTGGCCAAGACTCTACTACTGGTATACTTTTGAAATTAAGAAAACAAACAACTATTTGGCCATAAATATTCAGATTTTCTAGAAGTCCCCCCACCCAAATTAATTTGACTGAGCCGTATTAGAAAGTTGTGGCTTAATCCTTTGTTTCTTCTGCAGTCAAGAAGTATTCTGCACTGTATTCAGGCTCCTGTCTTCTTGAGGTCAGAAGAGATACTGTGATTTTTTCGTAACCATGGTCATGGTGGTGCCCAAGGCTGAGCCTGAATTGCAGCCCTCCTCATCCAGTTAAGAGGACTCCTGTCACTGCCAAGTTTGAATGCTCCCAGTTTAACAGATTTACTTTTGTTATGCTTAGACCTGGAAGTTCAAGTTGAGGTCTTTTGGAATATAAGTGCCCTTGCTTCAGCTGGGTAGTCAGTGTCTCCTAGACGTCCCCACACTGAGCACTGACCGAACATTCGCTCCGGCTGTCATCCAGTCTGCTGTCTCTAGGCTGGACTGTTTGGCTCTTGACATTTCTATTTAAGATCCTTAGGTTGGTGTCTATCTGGATACCGGGTACTAAACATGCATTTCCTATCCTGAAATACAAATCTTGGTTGAGAACTGTCATTAGGTTAGAATGTTATGTTATGTCTGCAATTCATATGAATTGTGCATTGCCAAGTTCTGGAGAAAAAGCAGTAGACAAGACAGTTTCTGTCTTCACGGCACTGAAAAGCTCACAAATACACATCCCACGTGGGTAAGTGCTGTGACAGTGACAGTGAGAGGTCGAGGGATGAATGTGAGGTGAAGGCAGCCGGGGAGTGGCCCGCTGCAGGGGCGGGGAAGCTGGGCACCTGGGAGGCACGGAGGGCTCTCCGGCTTGAACGCTGTGCCGCGGGAGTGATGGGGAAAGAGGCTGGTGCAGAAGGTACAAGTCATCCACGACCTTGGAGGCCACAGCAAAAATTCATGTTGCCGAACGTGCCTGGCTGTGCAGCAGCTTAAACCGGCAGTAAATGTGCACTCACCTGCATTATTTATCTGAACTGATGTGCTCTGCTTTTTGTTTTGTTTTTTTTTTAAGAGGATGGGTCAGTTCTGAAACAGTTTCTCTCGGAAACGGAGAAGTTGTCCCCTGAAGACAGAGCAAAATGCTTTGAAAAGAATGAGGTAGGAAGAGAAGTGCCAGGGCATCGCCGTTTCAGTAACTCTGGAAGTTTTTGTGCTCACGGTTCTCTCTCTGTCTCAGGCCATTCAGACCGCCCACGACGCCGTGGCACAGGAAGGCCAGTGTCGGGTAAGTGCAAACACAGTTCAGGGCCCGGCTGCCCCAGGGCCGCCTGTGGTCTCCCTCGAACGTGTGAAGTAACCTCTTACTGGAACGCGGCAGATGCTGTTTTCCACCCAAGGCCAGTTAACATCAAAAAATCCTACTGGAACAAGGCTCTGAGCAGACCTGTTCATAAAAACGGCTGTCAGAAATCTGACTGGCAGTTGATGAAGTCTGGAGTAAGTTCAAACTGATAGTGCTTTGTTTAGATCTAAATGAGTCTAATAGAGTAACGCCCCCCCCCTCCCCAATAATTGAGCATTTCAGACATTCTCACATACTGTTGGGTACAGTAAGGTTGTCCAAACAAGGACTAGCAGTTTCTAGGAGGCTTACATGTACCATTTGTCCGAACAGAGCCTTCTTGTCAACTGTAAAATTAGATTTAACTCAGTTACTCTGCCTCTATAACGATAATCTGCTCTGCCACTTTCTGGTCTTGACCTTGGATGAAATACTTATCCTCCCTAAGCCATCATTTCCTCCTCAGTAAAAAGCAAGTTGGAGAGTTCTGACGGCTACAGTCTGTCTGCCTTAATGGGCTCAGGTTAGAGCCTCATATATAGGAAATATTTAAATGTTACCTATAATAATTTTTAAAATATAAAACAAGTTGGTTCAAGCATATTATACTCATTATATATTACATTTATTTTTAGCAAATTAAGTTCTGCTTTATAAAATACTCATTTTCCAAAAAAATGTCTCGCCTCTCTTCAGGTAGATGACAAAGTGAACTTCCATTTTATTCTGTTTAACAACGTGGATGGCCACCTCTATGAACTGGGTACGTGGAGTTCCAGTTTTGGAATCTAATACAGTTTCATCCTTTCATACTGAATTCCTTTTTACAGTAATGGCATATACTTTATAGCACTTTAGTATGTCATTGTTTTTGAAGCTGGAACAACAGGGAATTTCGGGGGGAACTTAACCCTTTATGGTGCCCAGAGCACCCCTTTCGGGCAACCGCCCTGCCAAATGAATGGCTTTAGTCACAGACCTGCGAAGAGATCAGACCAGCACCAGTCAGGTCTGACTGGAATCAGCCTTTCAGAAAGGGAATACTTTGGGGAAAAGACAAGTACCTAAATATGACCTTGTTTGGGTAAAAAGGATTTGTACACTTGGGGGTAATTTCTGTGAACTGGCAAATGGCAGCAAGAAAGATTATCCATCTTGTTAGAGTCATCTTTGTGTTGGTGGGGAAAGTCGTGTTGCCTCAGGTCAAGACACTGCCTGTGGGCGTGTGAGCTCATCGGGGGTCATGGAGGGGCCAGAGCAGTCTCAGGGGGCCCTTCTTGCCTCCCCCTTCCTGCACCTCCAGAGACTGAATCTGCCTTTTGCTCTGTGGCCCTTCCCAGAGATGGGGCACAAGCCCTTCAGTTAGGGTGGCTGGATTGGGCTGTGTAATCTTGTTACTTATAGATGAGAATTGTCTGGGATGGATCGTTAGGAGCACTTGACCCTCATTTCCGGTCTGTTACTTTATAACTAGGTTTCCTTTGTGGGAGAGGCAGTGGTATTTGGAAGAACCCCGAACTTCTAAGCTGGATACATACATTAGCCAAAAAATGTTCAGGGAAAATTGACACCTGGCTGCTTTGTTGCAGATGGACGAATGCCTTTTCCAGTGAACCACGGCACCAGCGCGGAGGACTCGCTGCTGCAGGTAAGCTTGAGAACCTGTCCCCTGTAGGGCCCAGGTGTGCTTAGCCAAGCCATCTGTCTCAAAGTGCTAACACTTTTTTCAGTACAGCCAGTACCAGTCATCTGGGTTGATAGCATTCTCCGGGGCTTAAAGATCATCTTAGTAATTCTATCTACCTTATTTTCCAGCAAGTGGTTTTAAACAGGATCCTTCAGAGCAGCCCTGACTAATCTGTGTCGTGTGCTGTCTTTAGCCCACAGGTAGAAATGGCCTGAAAGCCATTGCTTTGCTTCTTTGTGGGATTAAGGTGACCATTGTCTTCTCGTCAGCTTCCATCTTAGCTTGTGGAACTGAAACTGGAGCCTTTGCTGGTCCATCCCAGACTGCTGGGTCTGTGTCTTACGGGTTCTGGTTAGGCAGTAGACTTCAGGAGCAGTTTCTTCCCACGTGGTCCCATTATCCAATGAGAGAAGCAGATTCAAAACATGCTTTACAGGAACTTTAAGATCCAGGAACACAATGTCACCGTCCCAGTACAGGTGCCTACAGAAACCTCTTAATCCTGGGCCAGAGCTGGTAGATGGTTCTGGGCCTCTTCACCCTGAAAATGAGTCTCTGCCACTGAGTCAGTTTTCTGTTACAAAGGAAATGGCTTAATTGTGCTGAAATAGCAACTGTTAACACAGAGCTTCTGCATTTGTAGTACTAACAGGTAACCTTTTTCCAGCCCTTGCTGTGTGTAGACTGGAGGCTGACAAACTTTTTCAGACAGAAGAGGCTCTAGCTTGGGGTGGCATATGGCCCCATTGCAAGTATCGAGTTCTGCAGTTTCAGCTCCAGGGTGGCCTGCCGGTACTGGATAAGCAAATGTGTGCAGCTGCTCACAGAAACTGCAGTCACAAACACAGGCCGCGGGCTCTTTCTGGCCCACGGGCTGCCGTTTGCCGACCCCTCTGCTAGGAGCTCTTGAGTGACCGAGAGCTCTTACAGTATCCTTAGGAGGATACCGTGAGGTGGGTATTCTTGCTCACATTTTACAGAGGAAGAGAAGCGATGCCCAAGGCCAAAGACTTAGATAGCAGAGGCATGGCTCAAATCTAGACACTCTGTCTCTAGAGTCTGTACTCTTAGTCATTGTACAAGACGGCCTTTCTTTGTAACAGGCCTGTCTTTGGAACGTCACAGACCTCTCGGCTTTGAGGTGCTGGTGGGACCAGCGGTACCACTCCAGGAGGGGGAGGGGCAGGTTCTCCAGTTTGCCAGTAGACACACCTGAGAGCACTTGGAGCTAATTCTTGGCTGTGTGGGGGTTAATGGGAACAGTGATAAAGAATGAGAACTAGACCTAGAGAAGCGGGATGAGGGGAGTTGGCCTGAGAAAGTCAGCATTTACTTAGAGAATAAGAACAGAGGCATGGTTTCTGGCCATGGCCCATTTGGGACAAAGACTCTCCAAATAAAGCTCTGAAGGCCAGACTAACATGTCTAACGTTATGCTAATCCCGTGAATTGCACTCCACATGGGACCCCTACAACTGTTACGTGAGTAGAACTTACGAGCTGTGGGGAAGGTGAGATTTTTTTGTTCCAAAAAAAATAAAACTCTTATTAGAATCTCATGTAAAATTAAGTGACTATAAACCAAACTAGTATCTAAATTAGTGAAAATTCTTGAGTGAGGCTGGCTCTATATGGTGAAAGAAGTTTTAGGTTTTCCAAACTATACACAGACTCGACTTAAGCCAGAGAGAAAAATAACGTGAATTTAACCCAGCTGTCCTAAACCTGAGTGATTAGGTAACGGCCCATTGTCTGTGCAGGAGGTGGCATTCGAGGCCCACACTTCGTATTCTTCACACTGTGGGGGAGTCTTCAAGGTCCGGAATATCAGTGCAGTGAACATTTGGACAGAATCAAATGTGGCTGTCAGTCCGGATTCACTGCAGGTTTTCTAAGTGGTTTCAGAGCAGGAGCGAAACTGCCACGATTGATCTTTCAGTGTCCAGTCGGCGATTTCTCGTGCCTGGGAGCTGATGTTCTGTCAGAATATTACCCGTCCTCTTAAAAGGTCTGACATTGATGTGGTTGCGGAGCTCTCTTTCAACTTGACCCCTTGCACATTGAACAGAGGGATTGATACTTATGATCTCCAGTCATTTTTAAAACCTAGAATTTGGTAAATAACTAATACACATTTCTGAGATACTGTGGGTTTGGTTCCAGATCTGTGTGATAAAAGTTATCACAATAAAGCAAGTGGTAGTCTAAAGCTAGTGGAGAGTCTTGTCTTCAGTTTGTCTGTAAAGCTCAGTAAAGCAAATGCAGTGAAATGAGGGATTTCTGTATTGGGTTCAATTTTCTGTTCCCAGTCTTTGTAATCTGGGCCTTAAAATGAGTAACACATGACTTGTCTGTACCTAGAGTACCAGGTATTGAAACGTCTAAGGCTCTCTTGTACAATGTTTACGTGGAAGAAATTCGTCTCTATTCTGGGAATTTCAGAGTTAAGAGAACTTTTCCCCTTTGGAATAGAGATCAGTTGAGGAAAAGACCACAAATAGTATATAGTTTTGTTGCCAAAATCAGGCACAAGGTGGGAGAAACAGCATTTGCTGGAAGTAAAAAAGGAGTCAGAGCTTCTGAAGTCAGATTGGTGATGCAAGCATGTTTCTCGCATCACGTGATTTTTTTCTCCTCCTGCCTTGAACCTTGATTTTCAAGTTTAAGGGGAAGTTTAAAGTTGACTAGATTGAACTTTGAGCGTTCATAGGCTTTACTGGTAATTCCCCTTTGAAACTTTCATTGCGAGCTGTTGCTGTTTGGATATTAACGCCATTCCTCCTTTTCAGGATGCCGCCAAGGTCTGCAGAGAATTCACTGAGCGTGAGCAAGGGGAAGTCCGCTTCTCTGCCGTCGCCCTCTGCAAGGCTGCCTAATGCCCTGTGGGAAGGGACCGAGCTCTTTTCCCCCCTTTCCTTCACCATCAAAATATACCCCCACCAATGCAGTCTTAAAACGCTTTAGTACTTGTAGAAAGCAGCTGTTCCCCTTCGGTTCTGCAGCTGTACTCCCCCTCAGCCGCACCCAGGCGCTAGCAGAGCTCAGCTGTCGACGGAGCAGTTTGGTGTAAGCTTCAGACCGAGAAGCATTTCCCGCACTGTGTGTCTTGTGCCTCAATATCTCATGCTTTAAATGGCTACTTTGGTTTGTGTCTGTAAGGTAAGGCCTTGGATGTGGTATAACTTGTTTGTCCTTAAGGAATAAAACTTTTCTGCTGATAAGAGAGAAGGCTAAACTGTTTTTTTTCCTCTTTTATATTCCCCTCATACATTTTAATTTATAGAGGTGTTGTTAGACTTTATTTCTATATGTTTATATTGTTTATTTGTAAACTTTGAAATACTTTAAAAATCTTTTTAGAACAATCTTGGATTTACAGGAAAATCGAGAAGCTATTATAGCTCCCATAGACCCTTTATCCATTTCTCCCTTTGTTATCTTACCCTAGTGTGATACATTTGTTATAATTAATAAAAGATATTGATAACATTGCTAATGACTAAAGCCCATATTCACATTTCCTTAGTTTTTACAAAATACCCTTTTTTCGCCCCGGATACCACATTTTATTTAGTTTTGTCTCACTAGGCTCCCCTTGGCTGTGGTCCTTTCTCGGGCTTTCTGTGCTTTTGGTGACCGTGCCAGCTCTGGGGAGCACTGGTCCGTTATTTTGTAGGATGCTCCTTTACAAGGATTTGCCCTAATGGTGGTTTTCTGCTAATGAGGCTGGGGTTCGGTGTTCTGGGGGAGGAAGACCACAGAGCTGAAGTGCCATTTTCATCACCTTTATAGGGTACATGCTATCAACACGATTCCTGCTCTCGATACTGACCTTGATCACCTGACTGAGGTGACCGTCGTCAAGTGTTCCCACTGTGGTTGCTTTCCCCCCGCCCTCCAGACCCTCCTGGTGGGAGGCTGTCTTCGCAGCCCGCACTCGGGGGAGTGGAATTACGCCCTAGCTCCTGTGGGTGGAGTGTCTAAATTGCAGTTGTTTTACAACGGAGGTTTGTCTCTTCTCTATTCGATCACTTATGTCAGTATGAATTCATGGATACTTATTTTTATGCTTTGAGTTATCACCCAGTACTAACATTTTATTGCCGAAATTGTTCCAGCTTTGACCACGGAGAATTGTTTCAGTTGCTTCCTGTGTCCGTTTGATGATCCCCAGTCCATGTAGTCCCCCCTGCCCCCCATCAATTCCTTGCTTTCTAGAAATTAGGTTTTGGGTTGTTTTTTTTTTTAAACGTCTTTGCCATTTCTAGTTAAGTCTTACTGTGTTATGGATAAGGACACACATGCACATTAAAGATTAAGTGGCATCCATTCTCAACAGCTGATACTTGAATGTGCAGTAACAGTGCCTTTCTAGTTAACAGGAATGGAGGCCAGTGGGGAAGAAAGCCCGTGCATCCCGCTCTCCCCGTGAGCCTCACAGAAGAGCTTCATCACCCTGCTTGTTGCCAGGGGTCCAGACAGCAGGTCTCAGCTGTGTCTAAGTTCTCAGCCCCAGTCACTCTGTGGCAATGCCAGCTTCTCGGGGAAGAATATATTGGTTCCTAGGAGTAAAGTGATCACTGCGGTTGACATTTTTTTGTTTTTAACTGTTGGAAGTTGTTATATTTTTTTCCTTTTTCTATTGTTTATTGCTATTACAGGTGTCCTAATATTTCCCCCTTTGCTGCCTCCCTCCCCACCCCCACACTGTAACATTCTCTTAACTTGGAAAACTAAATCTGTAGTGATTCAGGTGATTCTAATTACTTAGAATGAAAACCAGAGGCGTAGGTTGTCAAGTTTCACTGGGTGTGTGCCTTCTGTACAGCCGCTTTGGATATTGTGGGAAGGAAACAAAACAAGGCTTGTTTCTGCTAATAGGAGCTGGTAAAGGTTGCTTTTGGCCTCAGAAACACAGCTACGTTTAGTGGTGGTGTTTGTAAGACTTCATGCTTCATGTGTGAGAAGCATATTCAAATGCTTTGCATGCTGCACTATGGAGGGTTATACAATGGCTGACGTGTGTGGGTCATTGCACCCCTGGAGGTACAGAGAAATTTTGGTTTTACTGAGGAAATAGGCACGGAGGCTCAGTAACATCCCCAGGTTCGCTCTGTCAGTCCCTGGGACTTGGACCATGGAGTGACTTCCTAAAGCTGGGAGTCAGTACATCAGGCTTTCCGGTTTATCAGATCTGTCTTTGAGCTCCGCTTTGGGCTAAGGAAGTACCCTCCCCCTCATCTTCCTTGCTTTGTGTTCAAATAGACACAATAGAGAAAGAAGATGCCTGGGAAGGGCCTGTACTTCGGAAGACTCCATCTAGCACCAACTTCCCACTGGCCTCCCTGAGGCCTGGGCCATGTAGCACCCGGGGGTGGGGGGGCAAGTACCACTGACTATTCCATATGAAGGCAGTCCCCCCACAGAGTTGTGCAACTCAGAAGCCCTTGTTTACCCAGCAAGCCCTCTTAATTGTTATCATAGATCTCATCAAAGATCTATGGCCAGTGAGCTCACTCCTTAGAGTGTTACTGGTCTTCCATGATGAAGGTGACTGTGTAGTGCTTTCCACAGGCCAAGCCCCCTGACGCTAAGGATCCCCTTTTAACTAACACCCAGAATGTCTAGTTGAATCTAGGTTTTACATCTGTTCAGTATATAGTACTTGGACTGTCTTACAGAGCCCTTTAGAAAAATATTCACTCATGAAACCAGTGAGATTGTTTTTATAAAATGCGTATACATATGTTTGGAAAAGACAGGACCATAATAGCTAACTAAATGTTTACTATATGCTAAGTTAAACTCAGTCATTGTACAAGATTGACACTTTTTCAGGTAAAAACTAAAGCACAGTGAAGCTTAAGCAACTCACCCAAGGTCACCCGGCTGTAAAGGATGCTGGTGATACTCAAACCCAAGCAGACTGGCTGTAGCAGCCCACAATCGTGATGATTGCTGGAAGAGGTGGACTTCAGGTGCAGTTTAAGCTCCAGGACCCCGCCCTTTAATAGGCCCTTCAGCCTCCTGCTTTGTGCGTCCTGTGACATCTGCCATTTCTTGAAAACATGGGTCTGTCCCGTCTCTGGACATTGAGATTATGGGCGATTTTAACTTCATATGCTCATTTTCTAAGCTTTCTAAACCTACTTTGTTACTTTTATAATTAAAGAAGCTTAAGTATTTCCCCTAGGACTGAGAATTTTGTGCTGAGCGTCTGCTGGTGAATTCTAGCTTACTCTGGAGTTTCTTTATCACTGAAGCCAGTACAAATTATTAACTTCATTTTCTGTCTTTGGCTCTGTTCTGCTTCCGACAGCCTCCATTATAAAGCTGCTTTAAACTCTAAATAATCATCTCCATGTTCTAAACCTCAGCTTGTTTGGAGAGTGTCCCTGTTCCTGCACACCCGGCCACATTAAATGCTGTCTTGATGTGCTCCGTGACACTTTGTCCCTTGAATGACATGATCTTATTAATTCATTGGATAGTAGCAGTAAGTCATTCACCTGTTGGATTTCTTGACTTGGGTGGACATTCACTAAGGAGCAAGGTGTGGTCTGACGTGATTAAGGATGGTTTGCTGTGAGTTTCCTTTGTGGTCAGGGAACAGGACCTCCTACAGGATTGCGAGGATAGTTAAGAAAAGGGACATAGAGCTTAGTTTATAGTGAGCATGCCTTGAAATTATATTAGTATAAACTAAGAGTTGAGGCGTGTGTTTGAGCATGAACAAAGGAGAAAGACAAGTAGAGACGTCTCAGCAGGAGAAATGATAATGGATAATGTTCCCTCCTAGTACAAAACATCAATATTTGAACAATTCCCTGGTCTCGTCCAAACGCTCTGAATAATAGAAGACAAAAGCTCTATTCAAAACTATTCTCGTTATATGCAGTAGGTGGCAGCATAGGAAAGCTTATGGCAATTTTGTAGCTAAGTAGATTTGAACAGCGTTTTGCTAGGAAAGAAAAATGGACCTTTCGGGGCAAGACAGGCATGTGTGATAGCAGTACTCAGGCCTGCCTTTTGGCCCACAGTTTTGGGCAGGACTGACCAGCCCCCGGATAAATTGGCTGAAGTGAGCCATGTGAATTGCTTTTTGGGCTATTCGTAATTTTGCCCAGGTCCTGTTTTATCATAATAGAAATAAGCATTAAGAATTTTAAATTGTAAGTTTAAGTGAGTGCTTCCTCTGCTGGTGTTGAGTTAGATGTGTTATCCCAAATAAAATGGCTTTGATACAGTCAACCTTGCTTTCAAATCCATCTTAACATTAGAAAGACAGTGGAGTTAACTAACATTAAATTGCTATCTCAGCTCTTTAGGAAAGCATTTTCCTCAACACTCACGTTAACTTTACTTCCCAGTAGTTTCACAGAGACAGATCGGACACTTTCATTATGAGAACGGGGCCTGGTCCCAGCACTGACATTAACTAGGGGGGTGACATTAATTCCTCTTTCCTTTTTTTGTCTGTTTCCTCATTTAAAAAAAAAAGAATTAAATAGTCTCAAAGCTCACTGAAGTCCCTTCTATCTCTACGAGTTTAAAACTGCAATATAGAGAAGTTCAGAAAATGATGCACAGGCTTTTCCATCAAGGTGGGTGGGTGCCTACAGGACGCCCCAAAATGGTGTGAGGTGCGGCACACTTCCTCCCTGTGTGGGGCTGTCCTTTCAGCCCAGCCCCAGTGAGACCTGCCCCTTGTCCTCACCATGATTGCAGCAGCAAAGTGCCCACGGATTTCCAACGCGTCCATTTGGGGTGGGTGCCACCGCCCTGGAGAACCACTTAGCTACGCTGGAGAATGTTCCTAAGTAGTCTGTCGCAGGCCGAACTCCTAAATGGCCTCTAAGACTCCCAGCCCTTGGCATACAAGTGCCTTCTCCCAGGCATGCAGTCAAACACTTGATCTAGATGCTGCTTTGAAGGGACTTTGCAGATGTAATTAAGGTCCCAAATAAATTGGCATTAAGATAGATTATCCTCAGTTGGCCTGACCTAGTCCTCAATTAGGCCTGGGCTTTCCCGTCAAAGGAATGTGGGCAGTCGCCCGGAGCCAAGCCCAGGCCTCAGCTAATGGTCAGCAAGACGTGAGGATCTAAATTCTAGAGCCGCAGGAGGCAGACTCTTCCCCTGAGCCCCCGGAAAAACACAGCTGACACCTACATTTCAGCCTTGAAAGCCCTCTTGTAACACCATGCTAGATGTCCTGACC